CACTGAATTTCCCATTCATGACATAAAACTTAGAATGATGATTCTCAATGGCTATGTATTTTTATTTATTCATATATCTTTGTATCATAAAAACATTTCACATCTGTGTACTTTACTCGTATATCTCCAATCACACAACACGTATCTTGAGTGTTCAAAGCATGTCTTCTACTTTTTATCATTTCCCCAAACTATAAACCCTCATTTTCACCACAGTACTTGAAGCTATGCTATACACATTACAGGACTAAAATAATTATTGTTCTTATACTGCTATAACACACACAAGCTAACAATTGGTATACTGAAATAACAAAAAAAGGAAAATAAAAACCCACAAGGGCAACAATAATATATGCTATATACACAAAGATATGTGCAAATTGCAAACTAATCTAAATTACCAGAATAAAATACAAAAAAAATGATTTTACTATCAACAACCACATGATACAATAGGAGAAAACCACCCTAACTGATGAGTTACTGAAAGAACCCTTTTCCCTGGTTTTACTCATTGTCTCATGTTCTGCTGGAACGCAGAGAAAAGCAAAGCATATCTATGGCTTGGCTTTTACAAGAATTAGTGTTACAACTAATTTTACCCAAAAAATAACCTTGCTCAAAAGTTTGATGTGTAATGTTTACACATCAAACTTATGCATGTGCAAGTGGATGGGTTTAGAGCTAAACCTGTGTTAGATGTATGTGAGAGTTCATTATTTACAGGCATCCTGGAGATAATCCTGCTTAAAGCAATGTTTTGGAATAAGTGATTTATATGTTTTATAAATCAAAATTTTTATATACTGGATTTTCTTAAAGAAAAGGATACCAAAAAAGAAGAAAATCATTACCTACTATTGTAAGTTATGATCAGACAGACTTTTAATCCCCAGGCTTTAAAAAAATAACTCCACTCCCAAACCAATATTTATTCATACGAACCTATGACCTTGCAATGCCCACAGTTTTCAGTAACCTATGTTACTTGAAAATTTTTAGTTAGGAACATACCAGGACAATAAATGACTGTTTTTCACCCCAATAAATTCAATAAAAATTTTTTTTAAATAAATGACTGTTTTATCTCTTTAGCTTCATTTTAGCCTTCCTGTATTCACACCCTAGAGGTTCCAGATTCTTATCCACAAAGTGATTATGGTCTAGGACTGAATCAGATTTGTAACAAACGTCCACTGGGATCCTTCGACCTATCGTTGACGGGCAGAGCCAATATGTCTTCCAGCTCACTAAACCCCTTCACCTCACCTCAGGGACTATCCGCAATGCTATACGGTTAGAAGCTTTCTTTCACAAATGATGAAAATGAATGAAAAATGATTTCAGAATAGAAAAATGGATACTCAAGTCATTATATAGCATCTAAAGGCTACCCCGCCTCTACCACCTTGGTGCACGGACCTTCTAACATGTGTACAATAAGGGATATTCTTCTTTAAGGTTTTCAGTTTCATCATCTTTCATTTCATCTGATTACTGACATACACCATTTATTAACACTTCAATATATCCAGACACACAATAGCATAAAATTTCTAACAGTGATCTGTAATTGTCTAGAACCCATTGTGATTTGCTTTAAATTTCCCAGAATGAAGCACAAAGCTAATAAAATGAAATTTCTAATAAGTATGATTTTTTAAATGAACATTACCATATCAAAATGAAACAAACTACAGTCATGTAATCATTTATAAATAAAATACAAAATACAGACTCTTTTTTTCTTAAAAGGTAATTTAGCATGTCATTTTCTCATTTTTTGCTATTGGTCTTAAAATTTCTTCTCAAAAAATATAAATAAAAAGCATGTCCAAAGAGAGGAGAGGAAAAAATTACAAAGTACGATACTTTTTTTACGCTGCAAACTGTACAAAAATCTGTCACCATCTGTGTTACAATTCTAGTCATCAATAAGGTACTTTTTTTCAATGTACCACTCAAAAATCAATTATATCAACTCTTTTGTATAGAGAAGCAGCACACCTTTCAGGCAACTAGTATTAATGAGTAGACATGACTATAGAATCTCCATCTGTTTCTCTGACAAAGCTGTGGCTACTCTAGTCTCTCATTGAAATTCCATTAATCTAGTGTACCAAGGTCCAATGCGAAAATCAAAACTCCATCTAACCCTTTATCAGCTCACAATAACCTACAAGTGAACTCTGCCTGTTAGCATGCAGCAAGTTATGATTTTGCTATCAATCAGGCAGTTGGCCAATAAAAAAAAATGGGCAGGCTGGAAACAGCGTGTCTGGCAGGGTTGGGAGACTTTGTTTTTGTTTTCTGTTTTCATCCCCTTTCAATTTCTATAGGGTGTCTGGACCTTGTGAGATTATGCATTATTCTCCTTGGCTGTGATTTAATTGCTACCAGCAATCAAGTCGAAGCATCACTGAAGTGTGCTTGAATTTCATTAGAAGATATAACTTATGCTACTTTCCTACAGTACCTAATAAACCATAAAGAAACCAAAACACATATGGCTTGAGGGAATAACTGGAAAATTAGGTAGCCATTTGGGAACTGAGTGAACTTTTGAACCAGAGAAACAGAGAAAAAGAAATATTAAAGGAAAAGACAGACTTAGAATGCACATAGAGATGTGCAGGTTTGACCTTTTCAGTACCTTGAAAATTACATTAGCATTATGAAAAATACATATCATGTTTAGAGTTTATCATCCATCAAAGTTCAGATACTTTGTTAGTGTCTACCATAAGGTAAAAGTCAAAAGGACAAAACAACAATCTGATTTGACAAAAGGCCTTTTGGTGACCTGTGCTAATGTAGTTATACTTACTGTTAAATGCATTATCTTTTTATAATTAATATATCATTAGACTGAGATCACATAATGAATGAAAATTTATTCATCAAAGGAAAGAGAATACATACAATCTAAGTTGCAGAGAGAAGAACTGATATGACTAGATGACATTTCAGAGTGAAAATTAAAAGTCCAAGCAGTAGTTTTAAAATTAATTTATAGTATTCTTAGAAGAGAATTTAAAACTATCGAAAATGGTATTATTTATATACCAAAAATTAGTAATACTGAAAGTTAAATTTTCAATCTGCTTAAGCATTGCTTACATAAACACTAATGAAAATGCACCAATATTTAATGAATAATTTAATGTTATACATAAATGTTATTAAATAATGTTCAAATATTGATAAAGCAACCTTTTAACAATAAATTTTTTCATTCTATTAATGTACTTCCTATATATTTGGTTATGAAATAAACATAATAAATTACTCATAAAAAAGAAAACAATAATCATGTAACTACTCTATTATAACAATTCACTTTTTCTAACAAAACACTGACTCTCACAGAAATTTAATGGTTGGATTTCGTACATTGCAATATTTTTAAGAATGCGTATAATGTTCCTTTGTACATCAAAATATTTATACTAATTTGAGAAACCCTGAGTATATATATATTTTATTACTATATTCTGTGTGTGTATGTGTGTGTGTGTATTCTCCTGGGTAGAAATACTCTGTCTCTGTGTGTTTCTGTGTCTCTGTCTCTGTATGTATACACACACACACACACACACACACACACACACACACACATACTCTTTCCTATCTACCAATATTCTACAGGGAAGCAAAACAAATCATTGTAATGTACCTGAAAAATAGTTCAACTCAAATAATAATTGACTGTTTTGCCTGAAAGTATTATTTTATCAATTATAAAACATTTCCTAGTAGAAATGCTTTTGAAGATCAGGGGAGAAAGGGTAAAGCTCTGTTTCAGACAGAAAATGTGACCAAAGAGAAGAGAGCATCTTTTTAAAAAATGGACAGGAAATATAAGAGAAAAAAATCCCTTCCTTTAAAAATAGAAATTAAATATTTGCCAAAATGTAAAATTCGCCATAAAATGGATGCGATTATTATTGTTACACATTGTACAAAGTTCTGAATATAAAGAAAAGATTGTGTTGTTCTGAATCAATGGTTAGAATGTTTATCACTTATGCATGTACTTGACTTATCCCTGTTCTGCAATAGACATAATTTTATACCTCATAAAAGCAATTTATGTTTCCAAAGGGAATAATCTGGATAACATAAAATGTGGAGTGCTCTGTTGCAGGAAGCATATTTTCATTCAGCAATTGTATTTAGAGATGGGACTGCACAGTTTGATCATCATATAGTGGCAGAAGGCATTATTCATTTCTATGTCTATGTGAAACTTTGAGTGCCACAAATTAATATGCATGGCTAATTTATCGATACACATTTTTAATTTATAACTACATATCACTCTGCCAAGGTCTCCTTAAGGCAGATGTACTCAACTGGCTCTAACAGAGAAAGCACATGCTACATGAAAAACAAGTTTTACAACTTTGGCAAGTTTTTAAAAATTACTGAGATAAACAATCAACTTTATTGCTAATTCAATTAATACAAAGCACTATCATATTACTATATAATGTGGGGCATTTTTAGGTGACAATCAGAAAAATGAAAATGTATGAAAAGAAGCATTTACTAAAAACCTGTCTCACTGTGAGAAGGCAACATAGGAATAATTAATTTAATATTTTGTGAACTAATTATGTATGAAGTTTTCCGGGGAAGAGATCAAAAACCTTTTTCATTATTTATAAAATAAATAATACAACAAGCCATTAGCAGCATAATAAAATTAAGCAAGAATCTAATAACACTAAATTAACCAACAAACTCACTAATAATACTCACATGATAATATGAGCACTTTTTTAAAAAGTCTAGTAAAGAAAATGTCCTAGGAAATAAAGGAACTGCATACTTAGGAAAACCACTAGAGAGAGCTCTTCTGTTCCTTAAAAGGTTCTGGTAAAGTTAACTGAAGCCTCCGCCTTTATCTGCTTTCTGACAAGACCACCACTTCCACACCGTGCATGGTCTGTGTTGGTGTCAAGAGCTATATTCTACGGGAAAATATCACATACCATCAGAGGGGGCTTCATCATCTTTATCATATTTTTCTGAGGCTAATGAAATAGTGTCTGGAGGCCCAGAAAAAGGATCGTCATACTCGTCCCCATCGTCTGCATCGCCTATAAAAGAATCAGAGAAAAGGCTTGTAATTTAGCTACCTTAAAAAACATTACTTTATCAGAGGAATTACATTTCCCTATTAAATTCAGTCACTTGTCTTTTAAAAAAACCAAAGAAAACTTTTTGAAATGTAAAAAAAGGTCCCATTTTAATGTATATCCACTATAATTTAGATAAAGGAAGAGTTTTTGAAGGTCGATATACAACTACTTGTTTCTGGTACAGAAGAACGCAAGTCCAAAGTCATGGTGGTCTCTCCAAGGATAAGGACAAAAAAGGAGAGGCAGGATAAAACAGAGCGTGTATCTCAACTAAACAAAAAATTGAAACCAAAATAATGATAACAATGATTTAAAAAACATGGAAAACACAACAGAGAAATTATTAAATTTACCAAATTACCAACTCAATATTTGAAAAATTATGAGAAATTGATCATTCAAAGCCATATGAACATTTTATGCTTTCACTGAAAATCACAGGGTAACATTAGAGTAGATTAAAAAACTCTCATTAAAAACTAGTGAGATGTCATTGAATGAAAATGGAAGGTACCTAGTTTGTAAATAACCTTGTTTAAATTGAAAACGTTTACATCAGTTTTAAAGCAGCTTTTCCTATATAGGATTCCTGCCCTTGAAAATGCAAGTATTTTTAATCTACTGTAAAATGCTCTAGGCAGTTTTAATGTTCTAACCAGTTTTCTACACAATTTCTGAATCCAAGAATGGTTGGTGTGCTGGTCGGTTGGTTGGTTGGTTTAAAGTCATTTAATCCCCACAATTAAATCCTGTGGTTTGGATTTTCCCCACATTCTCATTTAGAATAATTTTTTAAAAGAATGTTTCAGATTTTTGCTAGCCTAGTTAAATGTAAGCAATCATTTTTCACCCATGTTCAACTACAAAGAAAAATATATATTTAATACTATAACAATACTATAACAATTATCTATCTGTTAACAATTCTAGTCATCTGTTAACAATTGAAGGGAAAACTAGCCACCTTAGGGATTAGCCAAAAAGCATGGTGAAAATCTCCATAGGAACCCTAGATACCAAGAAAATTACTTTTAGACCACGGTTGCTGAAAAGATCCAGATTAAAGCGAGTAGGTGCTCCAAAAGCATATCTGTACCCTCTGACAACCATTTGGTGGGTAGCACCCTATTTTTCACCAGAACACTTTCAAATTAATTTAAGAAATCAATATTCATCTCTATTTCCTTATAATGTTGATATTTCATCAGCATTTGTCATCCTTATGCTGAAAATAAATGTAGGAATATCTCCCATTAAGACAATAAGAGCAAAATATAAAGATGACTATTGTCCTTAGCAACTCCATTACTGGGTGTACCACACATGGTGGTGTTTCCTTCCCAATTAAAATTACAATACATATACTACTCATTCTTCAGATCTTAATTGCTGCTCTTGCTTACAAGATGTTGAAAGTATTTTTCAGGATATTCAGTGATCCCTTAAAATACTTGTCTTTACAGAAAGAACCATGGTCTGATTTTAAACATGAGATAAGAGAGAACCTCATAAAGTGCTTGTAAAAACATGTATGAACATGGAATGACAGCTCATGGAACATGTGGTAACAAAGACCACAAAGTTATCAACTGCTCTTAGTTGCTAGAGTATCCTTATATTCTTAATAAAGTAACAACTTTTATAATATGAATTTTCTAAGACTATTTCCTATCATGAACTATAAAATAAATCTTGCTGTGAACAAAAGTATTAGAATGCTTCAAATATATCATCAGAGTTTAGCACTCAGCATATTACACTATTATGAATATGAAAATACAACACTAAAATCAATGAATATATGGAAAGGATTTTGAAAAATATTCAGATGCTTGGGCTTAAGCCCATTAAACTCTACGTGGAAATAAGCTGAAAAAATAAAATAAGCTGAAACTTAAAAAGTTTTGAGAATCAGAATTCACTTGTCATCCATCAGTAATATCCATTATATATTTTAGGTGTATATCTATGCATATACATACATACACACATGAGCACACAGCATAAAGACCATTATTAAAGGTATAAATTCAGTAATATTTAACATGAGTTATGAATATTCTATACAAATTGGTCAATGGCATGTTAAAGACCTTTGCAGATATTTTTTTTAAAAAGAAACAATTTTGGATTACATATATTAAAGTGAAATTGCTTCAACTTACCCCTTCTAAGAACTGCGGCTCATTTCAAATGTGTTTAAAAAAAAAATCAGTGGGATATTTATATTTAGCTAAGACAATATGAATTAAGTGCGGCTACTCCATTCATGTCTTCTCCCCACCCCAGCCCTTTATGTAAGCTTTCCTTGAATTAACTCAGAAAGTAAAGAAAAAGAATCTCTGTGGTATCTGTACAGGGTTATTCCCTTTGTAACATGCCTTAAGTTGAAAGGACACTCATTTTTCAAAATGGTCTTCTTCATTTTACTGTTGTTCCAGTGATGATCCATCCCTTTCTTCCCCTCCCTAAATATTTTTTCAACCAATAAAGAGCTGCTGTATTACAAAGAGCTTTAGCTGAACACAGGGGTCGCTCTTGAGTAGTGTAACGACTTTTTTTCTCCCCAGGGGCTGAGTATTTGCAGCTATACCTGCAAAGATGTCTATAAATTAAAAGGAAAATGTTCAACTTGTGTTTATGTAATAGAGAACTGAACTCCAAATCAACGATGGGCATCAGGTAAACGTATCCAATACAATTTACGGACATAATTGAAAGCATTACAGCCTAATCAGACATCTAAAAGAAAAGCATGCTCAAATGAAATGTCTACAGAATCATTAGTTGGCAGCCATTCTATTACAATCACACATAATGTCAGTGGCGCCTTGAGCCCGTGCCAGTGACAACAGCATAAATTTTGCATCTCATTTCAGTGGTCATAAAATTAATGATCAGTTTAAAAATACTTCTTTGTAAAAGTTATTGCACAAAGGAAAGACATGAATGTGCTCCTGTTATGTACTCACAAGGATAATTATGGGGTTGTTGCTCATTAATACTGTTTCTTGTTTCCCCAGAAAAGCATTTGATTTATCCCCCAACTTTCAAAAGTTTAATTAATGATACAAAGTTAACAGTCTACTAAAGGACAATGATCCAAGACTTCCCTTTCCATATTCAGTGGCAACTAAAATATCAGGGCAAAACCAAGGCTTAATCGTACCACAGCAGCATATTTATCTGAAAAACATTTTAAAATTTATAACAGCTGGGTTCAAAGCACCATTATACCTTCTATTTTCTATGGCTTATTATCAATTAACATTTCTTTAAGTGCCTAGAGATGAAGTCCAACAGCAGCTGAACAGTCATGATCTCTACTACCACTGAAGTTGATTTAACCAACTTACTGCTTGTTTTGTCAAATACAGTTATATTTTAAGTACAATCGAGTAAACATTAAACTATATAATATACCTACAATTTAGGTATAACTATTTCCTCTTACAGAATATGGAAGACAAATGGGGGTGGGGGGGTGGAGAATTACTTGAGTGAAAACAAATTAATTTTTAATTCTCTATTCGGTTCATTTGTCCAAACTAATTTCAGGAGTAATAAAATACAGATAAGTAGACATAACTACATGTTTAACTTGTCATTTCTTAAGAAAATCTGTAGTTTAATTCTTAAAGCTTGGAAAGATTTAGGTCACCACAAATAAGATTCTCTTCATAACCCTTCTACTATAGGGGCACTAATTCACCGTGTGCAAATATGAGGCAGTTTCAAATAAGGATACCATTTCTCAAGCACTACCTCTGCAATATATAATACTTCGTCTGCTTCAGGCCCCATAACCTCAAACATGCTTAACACATTTGTACAAAGCCAGCGATGGAGGGGTGGGGGGAAGGGCTGCGGGTTATCTGCTCAGATTTCATTGAGGAGCTAACTTTCAACAGAACATATACTGTTAGGAAAGGTAAAGGAAAAGAAATTAAATGTCATCCAAACTTCTGACTTTCTGCCGTTCCTAAGGATTCCATCAGAAGAAACTAAAATGGGTCCCTTCTTACCTACCAATCCTGTTATTTTGAAAGTAGTTTAGTCCGTTAACAAATTTAATAACACAAATTAGATCAATGAAAATTTCTAAGTAAATTGATACATATTTAACAGTACCAGTGGAGTCTTAAGGACAAAATCTATTAAATTTTTTTAATTAGAGGAAAATATTTTAAAGGAGAAAATAAGAGCATTTTAGCTATGGAATCTAAAGGGAATTGAAAACAATAGATTCATGTTGGGTTTTTTTTTAAAGCACTAATATTTTACAAATTTGAAAAATATTCTCTTGAATTAGTTGTCTCATGTGAATTGATATGCCTGTCTCTTAACAATTTATAATTTCCTCAAAAACTATTTGAAAACTGAATTATAAATCAAGATTTACTTAAATTCTCTTGATAAATGAAGTTGAATCTGAGGATATACTTATTTATTGAACACCGGCTATGTCATACATAGGTATCTTCACACTATCTTAATCATTCTCTACAGGAAATAATAACACCTAAATCATCACTGGAGTAAAACAAGGCTAATATAAGGGCAAGATGCAACTATAAGTAAAGCTTTTTTTATCATGTACCTAATACATATTGGAAAATTATATTTCATATTGGGTCAGTAACAGTCTTTATTCAATATATTTTCATTACAAAAATAATTATTTCAAGTCATATTTAAGAGATCTTGTTATGTAACACAGAACAAATTCCAAAATAATTATCATTCTGTTCTAAAATAATTCTAAAACGAACATAATCCTAGTGCATAAAGCTTATATTCAGATATACTTTATATTGCTAGACCATATGGCAACTAAGAATAGGAAACTAGGGTTAACTGATTATTCTGTCATGGGCAATATTTGAAGGTCACAGAAGGAACTCTCTATTCTAGATATTTCAAATGATTAACAGGGACTAGACTAAGCAAGATTGGTCCTAGTTGCTTAGATTCAAATCTTTCTTAGGTACAAGCAAAATTAAGAAATTTAGAAAACCTAGTGATCATTCATTCTAAAGCCATAGTTTTTCAGATCTTCTGTGAATGGAGAATCTAGACTTTAGAACATAAAGAGGTAAAAGTGAGAACTTTAAGAAATTTAAATAATGAGAAGGAAAGTGTTAAGACCACAGCTTGCTGTGGAAATGAGTATAAACAGCAATTAGAAAATTAACTTAATGGACAAGCTTCAATATCCAGAAATTGTAATAAAATAAGTTTCTTACAATATAAACTATTCTCATCCAAAAAATGGAATTAAATTTTTTTAATCTTCTAAGATCTCTGCAGCTGAGTGTGTCAATTCAAATAGTTTCAAGAACTGAAATACTGCAAACTAAATACTGTGCTTTTCAACCTTACCATGGGGTGGAGGAGGCAGCATCTATAGTGTGAGAGAGGAGGAGATGTGGGCGGGGAAAAGGAAGGATATTAGACAGCTGTGTACCTTAGAGAAATTAATAGCTTACTTAGTAGAAATGAATACATCTGAATTCACTCATTTTATTTAGGAACTCACTACCTGGTCCTTTTTCTTCCCAATAATGAGATTAAGATGGTAATTAACTGCCATTTGAAAAAAAGTATGTGAAATAAGTAGGAGTCCAAAGGTAAAAAGGAGGAAAACAGCCTCTGTTTACTTCACTGTGACCCCATAGTGACCTGAGAGAGAGGTAGGGCGGGGTGAGAGAGAACAGGAAAACAGCCAGAAGGAATCTGCCCACATCTCCTTAGATGAAGACAATCCAACACCCCAAGGGGAAATATAAGGGGGAAAAAGCAGCACTATCAAAACATATGTGGATGCACTGAATTTACTCAATGTAGAATCTGATCATTAATAAATTCCTACTTTTGAATAAATATATCTTGAATAATTACTTTGAGAGTATTTAGTGTCACTCCTGTTTACCGTTCCTAACAAATTACAGGAATGGTCCTTTTAGAACAAAGCTGAATATACTTTGAAGGTAAAATGGCATAAAATTACTCAGCTTCTCACATTTCTCCAAAGTATCCATCTAACTTATCCACAGGCTCACTTCTGAACAGGCACTCTTGGTGATTAGTTAACTCAGTACAGCAGTATTGAAGTACAAATGACATTCAGAGAAAAATTATTATGCGGAATCTCTGAATTCTGTGTTATTTGAACTCCTATTCTAGGCTCATTTTTCAGTTTCTATCAAATACTACATAAAGTTCCATTCTCTTTAGAGACAAAGAATATATGTCAGTAATGACATTTTAATGTCCACACACCTGAACAAGTCCTAAAGCAGAAGAGCAAACGGAAAGTTCCTCCCCTGTCACCGAATCATATGCAGTCACACAATGACTGCACGTTATCATGCTTTCCTTAGCTTAAAATTTTTCCGTTTATAAATAAGTCATAATGAGAATGTGATCAATAATCCCTGGTACAAAATACACCTTTCAAGAAGAGGCAAAATCTAAAATTTCTCTATAAACAGTATACTGTATAAAAGTTATCATAATTAAAATATAAAAATATATTGTTTCTACATTCACCCAAGCAAAATGCAACATGATAAACCCTTAGTTCAGGGTTTGTCACAGACTATAAAACAGTGGGTATTTGTGAGGAGGAGGAGTTTCCCTGCTCTTCCCTTTTAACAAATTAACATAAAAAATCTCATTCTCTCCCATCACAACAATCTTAATGATTTAATGTGAAGAGTACTGCGGTTTCCTTTTAACTCTTTGATTTTAGGCTTGTCTGGCTAAGTACTTGGTTTATTGAAACTGTCACTACTCTCTCACTTATCAGCGGGCAGAGATATGAATTACTCTGTGGTATCTGCTAACCCCGGTTAGAAGATGTCACACTGCTTTTCCCCAAAAGCAGGTCCTAGCTCCACGTAAGTTAACTGACCTCATGTTGTGACCCTCATACCAGCATTCACAGGATTCAGGTCATGACCTATGAATTAGCATCATGCAAGTAAGGGCCATAAGAAGTTTCCCTTACAGAGCTGAAGACATGAAAAAGTAGGAGCTTCCTATGCCCTCCCTGACTTGGTCTTCAGTGTGCTAAGCAGCTGTCTCTCAAACCTAAAGGAAGACAAGCACACTACCAGTCCTCTCGCATATTTCAAAAAGAAGAAACAAGATTTCCCTCTTCGAAAATTTTTACGGTACACATTTATTTATATCAAAAAGATAATAAAAACCAGAATTTAAAAAAGATTTTACTCATGTTCTCAACAGAAATTGATCCTGTTTTCAAAACAATTATCCTTAAAAAAAACAAAAACAAAAACATTATCTATGAGTACCACGCCATGGGGCCTCCTGCTCCCTTCACTGCTAGGAAATCATGCCTGGTGTTCAGTGGTGTTGGGTTGGTCTCTCACCTCTGCTTCACCAAATTGCTCCATGCATAACTGCAAAGTACATGCCTTTCTTAGCCAATTGCTGCCACAATGCACTCTAAGACATTAAAACTTAATGTTAAATACAGAAGATATTTTCATCAGATTGTACAGAGTAGATTCTGGATATGCTTTTTAATTTTTTTCTCAGCAGGGGGAGCTAGCACTCTCATCTTGAAAGTCTAAGTATACAAGTCGGATATTTAAATTTTGATTCCAACGATCACATTTCAGTATCTGTTAGATTATCCTATTTAAAGATTTCTACGAGGAAAAATAATTTCGAGTTTGACAAACTTGAAAATTTACCTTTGTCTTGAAATTCCTGAAGATAGCTGCAAAATAAAACAAGAACATATTTTAAAATAAGTACTGACAAATCAAAACAAGGTCCAATACATGACAGCAATTCAAAGCTATTTTAACACATTTGGAGAAAAAAAACTACTTAATATCCAAAACGACAATTACAAAATGTTTGTGGATTTATAATAAAAGTATTTTTAAAGACGTAAGTTACAGTAGTCAAATCCGAACATATCTTTAATACCTACAACTTACTTTTATTCATTTCAGTATCTGGAGGTTATTTTCCATATTTATATTAAAATTCTCAGCTAGCTGTGTCTTATTATTTAAACTAAATATATCCTCACCTAATCAAAACAAACAGTTGAATATTGCTAGAATACTTAAGAAAATATGCATTCAGGAACCTTCACAAAAAAAGGGTATTATGATAAGCATATCCATTTTTAAAAGCTATTATAGTGAAAATATATTTTGTCCCTTAAAAACACTTAACAGCTATTAAATAATAACATTAAAATTTTAATTCAATGATAATCAATTCTTTATTAATGTTAATTACAAACTTGCTTCTAAGCAAAAAATTAGTAATAAAAGGTAAGTGACTTACGTAGACTTTACATCTTTTATCTTCTTAATAAGAGATTCTCTTTTTTCCTTTGCTTTCTTGGATAAATTTTCTCCTTTCAGTATGTCTGCTACAAATGTTTCAACATCTAAACCATAAAATGTAAGAAACAGGATACAAATTATAAGAATCATTTTTGTCAAGACAAATAGGACAATGATTGTGCCTATCCATAAGTGTTAATATCTGTACAATTTGTTACAGTTATTTATCAATCAAAAGCCTAACAGTTGAAGTATGTTTCAAATATACTAAGTTGGACAGATTTGTTCACCACTTAACTAATAAAATTTGTATGCTCTACTTATGCTTAGCACAGCAAATGCTATTTGGATGTTTGGCATCATTAAACCAGGAAGAAGCACACAAGTTTCAATAAACTATGGTGCCCTGTAAAACAAATTCTCCGATATAAAAGCAAGCACAGAGCTTTTATGCATGTGTTACTATCATTTTATAGTATTTTATGAGTTCCTGTACGAATAGGTCGTTCACAATATTATATCAGTATAAGCTAATGTCTCTGGCGAGGGCCTGTTTTACCCAGTGTAATCAATTTTCAGGTGTTTAATGCTTTATAGAAAAAGTAAATCCCCTTTTCTAGCCAAGATTCCCAAAATCAAACCCTCCGCCTTCCTACCTGCCCCACCCCCTTTTGCTAGCCACCCTCAAATAAAAAAGATAATCAGTTGTGAGGTTTTGTGTGTTCTAACTTCTTGCCTGGGTAGTACCACCTGAAAACATTTCTTTAAAAAAAGGAATAAGTAGTAACAATTAAAAATCCACTATTTAGAAATACAGTGACCTAGAGATAAGATGTTATGGCCTCATATAACATTTCTACATAGTCTCTTTTTTAAAAAAATTAGTAAACTTCTAAGTTATTGTGATATCTAGTTCTTTCTAGCATAAAATTCCAAAAAATCCTTACTGGTATGATTGTATAATAGCTCCCTTCTTATTGTTTATGAAATACTGTACAAATTTAAATTAATTTAAAACATAAAACTTTCAAATCTTACTTTGAGATCTCTAATATAGAGAATATCATAAAAAATTTTTCAAGTAGGTATGACTATAAACCATTCGTATCTCACATTGAAGAAGTGTATGTTGTATGTTTTACTTTCTTTTTATGTAACTACTTTGTGTCCTAACTCATACCGATAATATCAAAACATACAATATTACATGTATTAATTCAAGCTGTACAATAAATAGTCTTTCAACTGTACTTATAATGATCAATTTAAAACCTAGTATTTGAGATAGAATCTATTTGATTTTAAATTCTTGATTACAAAAGTATCTTGATCCATCCCATAAGCACAGTTGATTAAACTGTTCTTCTATACATTAACAATAAATGTATAAAGGTAACTTCCCTAAATCACTATGACAAGTAAAAGAATTAAAATTTAATCTTGATATATTTTTTTAAAATAGCTCTCTGGTGTTAACATTAAAAGGATTAAAACAAAATGAAAGCAAAGCATCACAGCTTCTCTTTATCTGAGCGGTCCATATTTTTGAAGATGAGGACACAGAGATATAATCCAGTACCAGCACAAATCAGGCTCAGACTTCTAAAGTAAGTGCCAAATAGTGAAACACAAAAAAGAAAGTGCTCTCCCCTCAACTCTTTAAATGCGGTACCCAGAGGAGCAAGCCCCCTTTGGACATTCAGATATTAGCTGAAATGGAAGAGATCATTGGCTTCCCCAGGACAGTCGCAATCAATCTGCTAAGAGAAGCAGAGGAAGGGAGAGAGCAGCATCTCTACTGATTCTTCCTTCCAGTCGGACTCAGTACTTGCGCGAACCACTGGCATGATGACTGGTGAAGAGTCTGCTTAATGTTACTTTCACTCAGTGTCTGTCTTTAATTCCCTCATCCACGAGTATTTAATTGCCTATTTTACATTTTCATTATACAATCCAAGTTTAAACAAACAGGATCTATTTCTATCTCTGGAAGCAATAACAGAACAAATTACAGCCTAAGAGTTATTTCTTTCAAAGGTCATTTCAATTCTATAAAAACAGAAAACATAAAAAAGCTGTGATGCTCTATGCAGTGCTTCCTAACACTCACAAAAAAATGTTTTTAAAATACCGACCCCTAACACTATTTTATGAGGAAATGCTTGGTGAGAGAGTGAGGCTGCAGGGAAATTCTACGTTTGTTTATTCAGGGTGAGGGGGGAGACTCCAGGACTGGGCAAGGGAAAAGATCTTTTTCTTTAATGTATCAGGCTTCCTACAGCCTTAATGTGTTAATTCCTCAGTTTATCCCAGAAGAGGGGTTTAAGGCAACTAGAAAGATTTAATAAACATTAATTTTTAAAAATACTTCTCAAAGGACACAAGGAAAGTATAGAAGCTGCTTTCCTGTTTTTCCTTTTTTTTTTTTTAAACAAGTTAAGAGCTTTAAAGTAGAAGCAATTGCTGTAATGATCCTTCCTAGTTGGTTGATGCCTGCTAACTAACTAGATTTGGTTTTTAAGTTTTTGAAATCTGGGTGTTTTGTTTTGTTTGGTTTTGTTTTCCCTTAAAACCCACACGGTGCCCACTTGTTCTCGAATCCAACGAAACCAGCCTCTCCGGGCACAGGAGCCCTCCCTGGATGTGCGGGGGCTGGAGGGGGTCCCAGCGCAGGGACAGAACGAGCGCTGAGGTTACTGAGGCTTTACCCGGAGATGCCTGGGCGCTGAAGTTCGGGACACTCGACAGTCGACAAGCGCAGTGTTAAACCCCAGGGTCCCAGTCACCGGAGCTGTGAAAAGGAAGCCCTGGTTTGGGGCAGCGCCTTCGCCAGACAAATGGGACTGGATCTGCTGCGGCTTTGTGGCTCAGAGCCGGGGTAATATTTCAAAAGCGAGCAATAAAAGTCCTGGGCGAATCAAGCGCTCCTCTGGCCGGTTGGAAAAGAGATTTGAAGCTTTTTATTGTGCTCTGAATAGCCCTGCAAATGGTGAACGGTAAAGGAGCGAGTGCAGTAGTCCTCTCCCACCTTCCTTCAGGGGTCGTGTCCCTGGGTTAATATGTAGATTTCACTGACTCTAGATTGTCTGTAATTCGGGGAACAGCCATTATTCGATTACAAGGAAAGGTCAGCCTGCCTTCTCGCCTGCCTCTAGGCCTGATGAGTTAGAATTCCTCTTCCTCCGCAGGAGGGGTCTCCACTCTCGCGCGCTCGCCGCAGGAGAGGGGAAACAGCGCGACGAGTCGGGGGAGGCCCCCAACCCACCAGGGCTAACCCCACCCCCACCCCGCAACCCCCCACCCCCCAGGCTCCCAGGCTGCAGGTCGGCGCCCGGGCATCCCCAGAAACCCCTAGGACTGGCCCCGTCTCCATCAGCCCCTGCCCCCAAGTCATCACGGAGGAGAAAGTTACCCCAACGAATGTAAATGCGGTGGGATTTTTGCTCCTGTTACTCCTGGACGCTGGCAAGAGCAAAGCTTATCTCTCGGCAGGGCTGTAAAGATCTGGGGAAGAGGGCCTCTAAAAAGATCAGGTTTACAACTACTCTGTAGATAAATGTTAAGGTCTGAAAACAAAATTAAAAGATGGCATCCTGTCTTGGCTCAGCAACCGTCAAGCAGGTTAAGTTAGAAACCTCCCAACAGCCCTGTCAACCCTTAAGAGGCAAACGCTTAGCACACACCGAATCACCAAACGGCGCGCTGATTGTCTTTTTCCCCCCTGTACTATGGACTCCCTATACACAAGGAGCCCCCTAGAAAAACTGCCACTTGAGTGGCTAGGACAGGTCTCTCTCTCTCTCTCTCTCTCTCTCTCTCTCTCTCTCCCTCTCTCTCTCTCTCCCCCCCCACACACACACACACGAACTGCTTTCTACAAACTTCCATACATAGTGAAAAGGTGAAACCACACAAGGTTAGAACAGTCTTTAAATTCTTGCAAGCAATAAAACAAACTGTCAGCTTCTTGAAGCTGAGTACATAATATTGGTTCCCATTCTTGAAGAAAGCGGATGTTTGACTACTTGCCCTTACCATCCTCCCCCAGCAAACAGCCTGGAATATGACTTTCAGGCTGGAGGTTGTAAACAAGTCACAAAGGTAACACCTGGTGTCTTCAGCCTGTCCACCAACTACCTAATACCTCCCCGAGTGGGCGCGCGCACACGCACACGCACACACAGCCTCTGCGGTGATGGTCTGAATAGTATAGGAGAGGGAAGCAAGAACTGAACTGAATCAACTACCATTTACTCAGCCCCCGATCAATAAAGTAAGTGAAAAACCAATCACACTACATCCCAACTGGCTTTACTACTTAATTCTACAGCTTTCTCTACTTTATGAATTGGGCCAGGTTTCAGTTTGTATTCACTGAGGTTTTATCACCAAACAATGGGATACGGATCCCAGCCAAACTTTAAGCTAGCATCAGAACAGAAAAACATGCTTTGCTTCTCTGTTAAAAGGAGAAATGGCTGAGCGAACACACCTATGCATGAAAACACAAAAGTCAACTAAACTGGGCACATGCAGATCAATGGAACCAACTGCCCAAAGTTGGAAAATGGTTAATTGAAAAGTTATTGATTGCTCTAATCAATGTCTTTCTCTTGATTACCTCACACTTTTATAGGTTATAGCTAAACTGTGGACTTTTCTAACATGGAAGAAGAGGCATGACCAAGCACAGGAGTTCTCACAGAAAACATAACTAAGTCTTACATCCTATCATCTGACAAAATTTTCACAATTGGTTTTGGAGGCTACATGATTTATTTTGATTTTAAAAAACTGGGCTTTTGAAGGATAGGGATGAACATCTTTCACCTCTAAAAGATGATTCTTGATAAATGGCACCTTATAATAATCAAAATCTTTTTGCCACACATTTCCAAAGAAGCCAGAGTGAGTAACACATTAGTCTGAGATTCACACTATTTTCACTGTTAGGCAGCATCTATTATAGTGTGTTCAGTACGTGATTGAAAAAGAAATGTAAACTCAGTGGAATGAAAAAAATAGACTTGGCTTTAATTGAAAAAGACAAACTAAATGAATAATGAGTATATAAAAACTAGCCTATGCCACTTTTATCACCCATATATGACACTTAATCTTAAATTTATGAGAGACAACTGAACAGTGTTCCAAATCACTAGAGGCCTTTCCTACTCTGTTGTTTCTATCTTCTTTCTAGTAATACTTTAGTGCTGATAATGTAGAGATAAACTCATTTGGAAATTTTTTATATACTTCTCTTTTTTTAGTATAGATTCCCTTTTTTCACAATAAAACCACTGATAATTTAGAGTAACTATAAAAATGGTGTGTACTATCAAGAGCCTTATTTAGTAATCTGAAATGAAAATACTTCTAATGGAAGTCCATAATGGAAAAAAGCCACCAAAGACCTCTTCCCAAGAAAAACTGGGGTATCATTTGCTTAAGATAGGCAAATAATTTTCCTAACATCACATCTTAAATTTGTCTATGTTATTTGGCTCACACAAGAAACTGAATTTCTGGCCCCTTGATTAACAAATACATTTTCCTATTTCTAGGAGAGAATATCTTAGAGGTGTCAAAGACTGGTTTCATTGTAAGATTAAATCTCCTATCTTTATGCTCATTAGTTACTACTGTCAAAATGGGGCCAGCTTGATCTTGCTCTGTAGGAAAATCCAGGTGCTAAAGAAGTAGGTGACTATTGGTGACTCAGTAGGTGGCACTCTTCCCTTTACATACTCAGCCAAGGCACGGGGAGAAAGTCATGGGACACTAGATATAGCATAAATATTTCTCAAAGGAAGAATAAAGCCAAAATGCTGACCAAATTATAAATGGAACTTTGGAAAGGTGGAAATCAAACCACACTATCCTCAGCACTGGGGAAAAAATTCTGCCTCTCTTTCAACTGAACTGCATTCTTTACCTACTGCCCCTAAAAGGATCATTGATTACAATGTGTGAAATGGAGGTTTAAAAAAAATGTTCTGGAGATCTCCAATAGGGAAAAACACAATATTTCAATACAAGACTGTCAGATGAACAAAATCTCAAGGTCACTCTGCAGAAACCATACAGCCACTTTGCTTATTGTTTGGTTTGGTTTTGATTTTTTCAGATCCAGTATACTCTTCTGTTAACATTGGTTTCATTTTCTGGTTTTATAAAAAGATACTAACATCTTCTTACAGCTTACCTATTTAAGTATGTTGTCCTAAAACAATTGAATAAGAATATCTGATTGCAAACCACTAACACTCCAGTATTCAAAGGGTGATTAAACAAATTAGAGAGATTGGGGGGACTGGCGGTTCCAGTTCCTCTCACTCTCTTGACTGCCCGGAGGAAAAACTCACATAAATCAAGATTATTCTTGCTGTTAGTCCTAGTCAAAATATTTGGATGTAGGAGAAGATTAAATGGACAAGATTTGGGGTTATCCTTTGATTCTAATTATCCAGGCTAAACCTGTTCTTCCATTGTTGTGAAAAAAAATTACACACAATGAGATATACAAATCATGTATCACAGAAATGCACACTTGAAACATATATAATATTATTAACCAATGTCACTCCAATACATTTAATTTTAAGGAAATCAAAATTAATTTAAAAAAATTAAAAATTGCCTGTTTATGGCAGGTCAAAATTTGCTTTTAACAACAAAAATCTGTAAATGTTTTTCCATTCATGAAACAAAAGAAAAATTCAACACTTTTATGAAAAGTGTAGGCTTTCAAAATTTAAGTATTGATTCCACAGAAATATAATAACTAACAAACTAGCCACTTTCTAAGGAGTATCATTAAATGTGAGCTAAGAAAGATAGCCTCTATGGGTTTTTGCATTCCTATAAAATGTTTTTTCTTTCTCTAAGGGGGAAGGAATGAGAAGCAGAGGAAGCCTAAAATTGTTACAATTAGAAAGAAAAGTAATGAGAAAGAAAATAATAAACTGATAAGAATACATGTGAACACCTACCTCTATCAAGCAGTTGAAATGTCAAACATTTAACATACATGATATATAATGATTTGAATAATAGGCACATGGGATACAAAGAAAAATGTCCAAACAATTTTATTTTGAAAGGCATTATCTTTTACTTTATATTCATTTTTCTGAAGACAAGAGATTTTAAACACCTGAAAAGTTTAAGTGCTTATCTTCCCTACCTTGGAATTCTAGCACAGTGCCTTGCATTGCAAGAGCTCTCAACTATTAACTACAATCAACCACTATCTCTGCTCTTAGCTTCAAAGAAAGAACTAGGTAAGCCAATGATATCTAAATGTCAAACCAATACCAACTCTTTTTCCATAGTTTTAGTAATTTTCTATCTGACCATGTATTACTCCTCAACAGAAATCATCATGCACAATTCCAACAGATTTTTTTTAATGAAAACTGTGAAAAACTTGACATCATTTATTCCTGAAAACTTCCCTACATCAAAAAAGATTTTAATTAGAGTCAAACATAAAATGTTAGCTTTCTTTGAATACATTAAAAAAACTAATTTGCTTATTTCATTTCTTTAAAATATATTTTTTTCACATCCATACCTCTTGAAAATATCTTCTGAAAATAAATAAGCCAAATTTATAATCTCCAAATTTTTAATATTTTAATATTTCTTTTTATTATTTCATGTGTTTTAATGTGTGATTTTCTTTACTAATAGGAAATACTGAAAATGTCAACAGCCTAACTTTTTAAATGCTGATTGCAGATATTACGCAAGTGTGTTTACTATCTGACTCAAGAGAGGAGCTGAAGCATATGGGAAGTTAGCACTGGTAGAGAATTTAAATATTATGCAATTCTAAACTTTCAGTTAAATCACTCAAGGGCCACATGAAACACTGGTAATATATGGGGATCAGAAAATAAAGGATATAACCTACATATCATACTACCTGCAAATGTATCATTATGGATCAAAACAGCAAACTGTCTACTGTGTGAGCTGTCAAGCTTTAAAAGTGTGCACCCAGAAATCTGTACTTTATTTCTTAAATTTAAAAATTCATACCTTAAAAAGGGGGGGGGGCAAAAAATTCAGTCCTAGACCTAGGACATCCTGAAAATGCTAACATCTACTTTTGGAGTAACGATAAATACTACTCTGATCTGGCTATTAATATAATACTCTAAACGATAACGCTCCAAGCCAGTGCAGCATTATAACAACAAAAATGTCAACTGTAGTAAAACAAAATAGTACTCATGTGAAATTCTAATACAATGGAATAAAAGCTATCTTTTCAGTTGTTTCAGTATTTCCATTAGTGGTACCCATTAATGACAACAAGCATTTCTTAGAGTAAAATACTGTCTCACCAAAAATGCATTCATCACACTAATCATGTTCACACAAACCAGGTCTGCATCCACATACCATTGATTTTATTTTCTCTATCATATTCATGATGCTAACCACAGAAACAGTGTAACAGTGTATCAGATTTGGTCTCACACTAGAATTGTAACTTACTATTTAAAATGACACAGTTTAGATACTGTTTTTTAAGTGTTAAAATAACCAACCTGTAGTATCTAAGAGAAACTCTTTTAATCCAGGTATTCATGACCAATACTGAAAGATAAATACTTAAGAGACAACTAGAGTAAAACTATCAAAATTGTTTCCAGAATTCTGATGAATGTATGACGAAATGAATAATGGTAAGAATTCCAAACCATTAGGATAGGTAATATTTGTGTTACCCTAATATATTTTCTACATAATGCAGAAATATAAATTTTTCATTGGCCCTTAGTTACAATACACACCCCCATATCTAGCACATAGCTTTAAGAACCGTGTCTTCAACTCCTAAAGTAAGTTCCTATAAATGGTTATTTAAAACTGAAAAGGGGAAGATGAGGGTGCAAAGACGAAGTACTTTCATCATGGTGACACAGGAAGTTGGGCTTTAACACATGCTTCCTTTTTAATGTTACTCAAGCTGACAAGTGGCCATTTGAGAATCAGGCCCTCTTTGAAAGTCTTAAATATGAGTGGACTGAGGTGTTCAAGTGAAATGGGAGTTTTAGAATGACAAACCCTTCTATCCCATAACCCCCAACACCTGTAGATCAGACACATCTCTTTGCATCTTTTCACCCTTCTCCTCCACTGGCCAGGCCACCAAAGAAGTCCTTTTCTGATTACTGATCTCTTCCTAGTTCTCACACTTTACACTGATATTCATTCATTTCTCTCTCTCACGCGCTGCGCACGGGCGCACACAAGCACACGGCGTTTTTACGCTGCACACATAGTGTAATTCATCAATACGGGCTTCCCCACCTTCCTAACACCAAAATTCAACACACACGCCCACTCCTTTTCTCAGACTTAGTCCCACTCCCAGTCCCACTCCCACTGCCCAGGAGAAGAAGGGAGCGTGGGGAGGGAGGGGAAAGACTGAAAGCTTCTGTCCCGGTCGGCTCGCCGTCCCCTCGCCCCCGCCCCCGCCCCCGCTCCGCAGCGTTACCCGCCCCCTTCCCGCTCTTTACCTGCCAACAGGTTCTTAATTTCCTCGGGGAGGGAACAGGGAGAGGAGGTAATGCTGGGATTGGGCATATTAGGGAGCGCGGGGCGTGCGGGGAAAGGACCTGTAATGAAAGGGTAACCGACGGGCTGGGGTTGCGGCTGCGACCTAGACTCTGGCTAGCAGTCCCGGTAAGCCGAGCGGGGCTACGACTCCGGACACTGCCGGGCTGGGGCTCACAACAAGGAAGTCACGGAAGCCCCAACCAGCAGCTGCTGGACTCTCGGCCAGCCCCGCCCGGGGGGCCTGGGCGGGGCGATGGGCGGGGCGGAGACCCGAAGTCCAGAGGTGCGCGACTGCGCATGTGCGTCCCTCGGTTTTTCCTAACCTCCGAAAAGAGCCTCTGGACAGGCCACGCCCACCTCTACGACTGGGAACAGGAGGAGGAGCGGCCGGTGGGGAAGGAGCGGACGGGAGCCTCATCACCTGATCCCGCGCCTGAAGCGGCTTGCGGCCATTTTTGTTGCTGGTATCGCCAAAACTGCTGACCATTTCCCCAGGTGCTCAGATAATACGGTATCCTTAGTGCCTCCAGGTTTTCCGATTAAGACACCGTCTGGCCAACGGTCTGCGCTCCCGAGGTTTAACCTAACACCTCGCCTAGTAACCCGTAAGGAATTTTCGACTGTGCGGAACTATTATAGCCGCCTTTGTCCGATTGCATGATGGTAACAATGTCCCATCTTCCGCCAATCCTCCCTGAGAAGCCAGTTCAGAGAGCGATCTGATTGGCCCTTACTTTTCTACCTAGGGCGGATTCTGGGGGTGACTGATTTCCCCCACTACGAACGGAGGGTGGGGAGTTCTAATCATTATCTTTTTTTTTGTTGTTTAAAAAAAAAGCTATACAGACATAGATACCACTGTCCATTTAGAAACATCAAATTGCTAATGATTAGTAGAATGGAATTAAAATCTGTTCACTCAAACCCAATCATTTAGTAAACAAATACTTATTGAGCGCCTTCTATCTGTAAGCCTTCTCAGGTTTTTTCGAAAACTCCGAAAGGCACGTTTTGGTGCTATGTATGTGTGTAAAATATACATATATTTCTTCCGAAAGTAACTGCCATGGAAAAGCTCTTTCCTAGATGCTATTATTGTATTTTGAATATTGTGTTGTGACTCCAAATACAATATAAGTTGTTTATTCCTCTGCCCTCCAACACAGACTAGATCTTTGACACTTAAACTTCAGTTTTCGTTAGAACCACAGAGAGAACCTCTTACAATGCAGATTCTGATGTCCCGCCCCCAGAGATTCCGGTCCAGTCATTTTAGGGAAGGACCTGATTATTTACATTCTAAAGTAGCCTTCTAGGTGGTTCTGATGCAATGCATCCTGAGATTTGATTTTGAGAATCATAGGGCACAAAATTTGTCATAGCCCTGGCCAGGTGGCTCAGCTGATTGGAGCATCGTCTCATACACCAAAAGATTGTGGGGTTTGATTCCCTTTAGGGCACATGCCTGGGGTGCAGATTCCATCCCGGGGAGGGACGGGGAGGGGAGGGGAAAGGAGGGGTGGGAAAAGGTAGGCGTAGGTTAAGAGAGGCAACCAATTGATGTTTCTCTTTCTCACTTCCTCTCTAAAATCAATAAACATATCCTTGGGTGAGGATTAAAAAATTTTGTCATAACTTTCATCCCCACATGGAACCTTAAACCTTACATTGAATAATAACTCTATTAATATTTTATTTAAAAAAATCTCAGTAAGAAAAAAAATGGAATGCAGTGACATTTTTCTAAAATTCTGTAAGAGGTACACCACACACTATTTGTAAAAGGAAAACTTAGAACATTTTGAAGTCTTCTCAAAATAAAAAACAAGACCAAAAATTTACAATTGAAGGAAAACCTGTAAAATAACAACAAAAAAAAAAGACACCCCCAAAACAAACCAATTTCCTAAAATGGAAACTGAAATTCCTACTCAGATTTAGAAATGTGATGAATTATAGAAAGAGTGCTGAAATTAGAACTCTTTGGAGGATGTAAAGGTGAGTAAAAAGTCATTTTACAACATAGGTCCTCCAACTTCAAAGAATTAAGAATTATTATTCTTAAACTATAACATTATCTTCTTTCCAAAAGGAGAAAGTATTTCATGGACATTTTATGTTATTAAGGATTCTTTCTCCCTTTACAGTTATCACATATAATTCTTTGTCTTTTCACATTTTTTTTTATTAAGTTAGGCCTCCAAATGTTCCTATCTTTTGTTTCCTTCTCATAAACCTGACCAGATTTTTTTTTTTATTCTTGTGTCTCATTCACTTATTTATACTCAACTCATTCCACAAAGGAATTGAGGTGATTTACTCTTGTATCAAATAAACAGCTTTTGGGAGTGGATCAAATGGACACTGTCTCCACTGCTCATTATGACAAGTCATTCTTGTTACCGAGAGACAGGAAACTATTAAGATTGCCTTAAAATATATAGCATCTAGTAGTCCAAATAAAAAAGGCAATAACAGAAAATGGACTTCTTGTATGAAACACATTTCCCCTATTTAGGAAACCATTCTCAGACAGAGGTTCATGATGGATTCACTTGGGAAATGCTTCGTATACCCTATCATTTTTAATATTTATTGTTAAAGTTACTGAAATGGATTATAGACAGAAAGAGAAATAAACAGAGGCTAGAAGAAATATATTCTTCTTTCTCTTGTTTCCATAACAAAATCTATGAAGGAAATCAAATCATACTTTACATTCTTTAAACTAGTCATACTAGATAAAAATGAATAATAAATGAAACTTTAAATCTCACCCAAGTGAAGTAGCAGCTGCTCTACCATCCTACAAGAAAGAGACTAGACTCTTGGAACATATCGTGATCTGTCTTCTCAAAAGTAAATCCTCCAGTTCAAAAATGGTATATATATAGTCATGCACCACTTAACAGCAGGGGTACGTTCTGAGAAATGTGTTGTTAGGTGATTTCATCATTGTGCAAACACCATAGAGTATATTTACACAAACCTAAATTTTTCAGCCTATTACACATCTAGGATGTATGGTATACCACTGTTTATATGGTCCATTGTTGACCAAAACATCATTATGTAGCACATGACTCTTTATCTCCCTGTAAATAAAACTAATCTCCTTTCTTATATCTGTCCAATTTAGCTTAGCTGAATAAGTATTTGCCCACAGGTCTAGGTTTAAAAGAATCTAAATGAGCATTGAAGAAAAACAGTGAGCTGCCCTGACTGGTGTGGCGTAGTTGGTTGGGCATTGTTCTGCAAAGCAAAGTGTCACTGGTTCGATTCCCAGTCTAGGGCACATGCCTGGGTTGCAGACTGGGTCTTCGGTGGGGGTGCATATGAGAGGAGGTCAATGAATGTTTCTTGTCTCACATAGCTGTTTCTCTCCCTCTCTTTCTCCCTCCTTTCCTCTCTCTCTAAAATAAAATCTCTTTTTTTAAAAGAAAAACAGTGAGCTAAAACGTTTTACTTTTCTCTGCCTGTCTTATTTTCCTTTTGTGCGGCTTTCATAAGCATCAGGAAGAAATACTTAGGTATTAGATTAGTTTTCTGCTGCTGCATAACAAAACTTAGCTTAAAGGAAACAGTGTCTCACAGTTTCTTTTCTTTTTTTTATTGTTCAAATACATTTGTCTCCATTTTCCTGCTACCACCTGCCCCTGCCCCACCCACCCCCACCTCCCACTCTCAATCCTTCCCCAATTTTGGCTTTGTCCTTGGGTCCTTTATACATGTTCCTTGATTTGACCCTTCCCCTTCTCACTGTTTCTGATGACTAGGAATCCGTGAGCAGTACAACTGGATGGCTGTGGCTCAGAGTCTCCCATGAGGTTACAATCAAGCTGTAGGCTGGGTTGCAGTCATCTAAAGACTTGACCATGGCTAGAGGATCAGCTTTAAAGAAAGCTCACCCACAAAACTGTTGGCTGAAGTCCTCCATCCCTCTCTGGCTGTCGGAAAAAGGCCACAGTCCTCACTACATAACTTTCTCCGCAGGGCTGCCTGAGTGTCCTCTTAACGTGTGACCTGACTTCCCCCAGGGCAACTGATCTAAAAGAGAGCACAGCCAAGGCAGAGGCTGCAATGTATGGCAATATCTTAAGTAGCATAACTTTACTGTTGCAACATTCTATTGGTCACACAGACCTGGTATATACAGAGAAGGGACTACACAGGCTGCGAGTACCAGGAGGTAAGAATCACGGGAGCCTTACTGAAAGTTGGTTGCTATAATCAGCCCTCTGGCCCCCAGGGATCCACATCTCTCTGAGTGCAAAATAAAGCCATCCCCTCCTAAAGTCACCTGTGAAGTCTCATCCCGTTTCAAAGTCTCATCAGCTCAAAGTTCAGTCTCTCATTTAAATCAAGTCCAGTTGTGGATGATGCTTCTCAAATACAGCATCTCAAATACAGTTCTCTTGATCTAAAGAGCTACAAACTAAAAAGACAAGCTATCTGCTTCTCCATGTAACATACAATGGTGGGACAAGCACAGGATAAGCACTATAGACATTCCTATTCAAAAGGGGTGGGGACAACTTGTAGCCATTATGATATCCAACCAGGAAAATGTGGCAAGTTCTTTGATTAGAACAGTTTCACGCGCATGTGACATAACTTCGCCACGGATCTTGGTTCTGCCCTCTGATTCATACTTGCATTTCCATGAAAGGTAGCCCGTGTTTTCCGTTATGTAGTTTTCTCAACCTGCTTTTTGTTGTATACCATCTTTCTCTATCAAGGTTCATTCAGAGAATCAGAACGCTTAGAATGAAAATGGAAAGATAGATAACATAAACGAATTTGTTACAGAGATTTGACCCTGCGGAAGGTGGTAAAACTGATGCTGGATCTTAACATCCACAAAGCGGAGTCAGGAAGGGATGACGAAGACTTGTGAGAAGTTGGGGCCCAGGAGCACATGCCATAGTTCATGAGGACCACCTGAAACTCAAGTTAGCTCTTGCTGCCTCTAACTTTGATGGTGTGAATATCCTATCGAAGCCAAGGTCCCTCATTACAGAGTTAAACACACCCTTGACTCAGGAGTCAGCAAGATGAAAGGTGGATCCAGCAGAAGATGGAGCAGTTGCAGGCCCAGCTGCTACCGCATGTCAGGGATGCGAGCTAGCAGATAAGCAACAAAGTGAATTATATGTGAGCTACAAAATACCATGTGAATCAGCCCTTGCTGGGTCGCTAAGCTGGGACTACATACAGCTGTGCTGGGGTTCCTGGTC